TTGCTGAGGCCCGACTTGAACTTGTGGCACCACTTCATCTGCTGCAACCTGTTGCCGACATCCTACACTGCCAAGGATACCTATGAACAGGCTCTACTACTGTATGTCATTGTCACAGACACGCCATTCGATGCACCCCCAGTGATCAGAGATCAGCTCACCAGATGTATATTATTATTTTGAGCTAAGGAAATTTTTCAGTTTCAGGGTTAGTAACCGAACTCTCTATTAATCATTACACAACTTTCTTTCTAACCCCGAAAGTTTTTCCGTTTGTCCAAGATCGGAAAAGTAAAGAACATTCCTTCTTCTGAGATTCCGACCCTGGTAATTAGTGGTCCACATCCACATTTTATATTCCCTTTTACTATCATTATTATTATAATTATTTCATTCCTGCCAAATACGCAAACCTCACGTTGTGTTTGTTCTTCCATAATATTAGTATATTCCACTCTAGAGATCTACTAGACTTCTGTCTTCTGGTGTTCTTCTTCACTACACTAAAAGCCTCTGCTTTCTTCTTTACTTTGTTTCCGCATTTGCTCTTAGCGGCAGCTCACCAGCTTTCGAGATTTTTAGTTTTCACTTCTTTTCAAATTCATTTCCTTTCCGTTTGTGGTATAAATAAAAATAAACGTGAATCATGTTAGTAAATAAACTTGATTGGTCTAAGTAATATTCGGCTACCTAAGGTTATTAAATTAGACCATAAGTATTAATTGGTAATAAGTTCTAGCTCATTAATAGAGAAGTCTAGAAAAAGAAGATATTAGAAAGTAGTAAAAATATTCTAGAATGTGTAGAAATGTGTATGGAAATATCTACGAGTTGTATAATAGTTTATAGGAAATATCTTGAGGAGAAATCTTGATATTAGAATAAAATATCTAGATATTTAAGTGTTGTAGAAAAATCTTGACATCTTGTAGAAATTTCCCTGTACAACTATAAATAGGGATTAGGCCCCTAATGTAAAGGGTGTAGAGAGAAGAAGTTGCAAGACTTGTAAGCCAAAGGTTTTCTTGATAGAAAGAGTCCTATTCACTACAAAATAGTTGAGCTCTCTTTTATTCTGAATCATCTTCTCTTTCATTTCCGCTTCTTAAACTCATAACTCAAAAGGTTCTTTCCTTAGTACCCAAAGGGTTATTTTGCTAACAAATCTTTCCCTTCTTTGAAGCTCAAGATCGAATGTTACTTTCTAGTTTCTCCCTATGATTTTTCCTATATACTGATTCTACTAAGCTATATTTAGTTCTCCGGATTTCTTAGTAGTACTGTTTGATTCCTTTGCGTTGCTGAATGGAAATCAATTCTGATATAGTTAGTTATCTAGTTATTCCGCTGAAAGATTCCGTTTTACGAAATTGCTCTGTTTCTTCTTGTGTTGTTCCTGCTCTCCTTGATGATTTCGTTCGAGAGTTTTAAATAGTTATATTTTTCTTCTTTTTCCATTTTAATTAGTTCTCAATTTTGCATTTCTGGAGCAGCTTGCAAGTTGTAAACTTGCTATTAACCCTGGTAGTTTGGTAGGTAAATATAGAGGTTGTACAATTATAGGAGTAATATCAACTTACACGATTTGGTAAGATCTAATAATGTGTCTTACTACAGTACTACTCCAAACAAAGTCCGGGAGATTATTTTAAGTTGGATGGCTTGAGAAAGAAATTTGATAAGTTTTTTTTGGTACAATGGAAGGAGACATATTGCCTAATAGTCTAGATTATTACAGAACGTTGGTAGGAACACCAACTATATCATGATGAAGTCATGATTTCAACTCATCCGGAGCAACATCTAGTCAAGTTAAACCACCGGAACTGGTAGCCGCTAACGATACTAGTGAGAAATTTGATAAGTTGTCCTCAAGAGTCCTCAGATTCACTCCATTGTTCAATTTTTAATTAGTAGTCCCAAAGAACAAACCTTTACTGAATTTTTTTCATTAGGTTAAAATGTGGTAGCTTAACATAATGCTCCTGTCATTAAAAAATACCTATCAAAGCAAACTATTTTATTTTTCACACTTCTCAACGTGCATATGATAGATCCACAGTTGTATTGTTTCCACTGCTTTGTTTAATATAATCTTGACGAGAGGTCATTTCTGTCACCTGTGTTGTAAGTTTCGTAAAATTTGTTTGTTTTGTGCTTAGGAACTCGGAGCTGGTGCTTCTGTCAACAATGCAGAGAAGGCTGCCAGTAAACACCTTGCTACTTAATTGAATGTAATTCCTTAGTCCAGCATCTTTAGTACTTGGCTTCATCCTAACTCTTTTTCCACACTTTGCTTTTGTTCCAAAGACATCCCTAATGAAGTTCCATGCAATTGAGCTATCGTTGCGGAAACCTCAAACAAGAAAGATACCGAATATATCCTTACTAGTGGCCTTTGCAATTATTGTATCAGTCATCTCCATTTATTCTCCTTCAATAAGATATAGAACTAGTAATCTGGCAAAGTCACCTCCCAATCTTGTTTCTGTTGAAGAGGAATTAGTCAAGCCTACAACTACTCAGTTGACGAAAGATGGTGACCTGCGTCGTGATCATGATGACAATTCACCTCTGTGTCATGGTAGAGATAGTGAAGAGGAACTGCAAAATGCAAAAAAGGGGGTAGAGGAGGAACCAGCAAAGCATGTTGGGGAGTCTGAGGTTACAAAGTCATCAGCAACAGAGGTAAAGGAAGAATCTGTAAAGAATGAGGAGCATTCGCAGGATGTCACCAAGAGGGAAGAAGAGGATGAACAAGAATCTGAGGCTGCAAAATCATCAGAAACACAGGCAAGGGAAGCAGAAAGGAACGAGGACAACTCAGAAAAGCCTGAAGACGGGGACGTTGCAGCTGCTAAAGAGGAAGCACAAAATGTATCTAAAAGGGACGAAGAGGAATCACCAGTCCATGAACAAGAATATGATATTACTAAGTCACCCGAAACAAAGGCACAGGAGGTAACCCAAGGGAAAAAAGAGAACCCTGACAAGCCTAACGAGGAGGGTACCCAGACTACAGAATCGTCTGCGATAGTAACACCAGAAGCACCACAAAATGAAAATTGTGACTTATTTATTGGGGAATGGGTTCCCAACCCTGAGGGACCTTATTACACAAACTCGACATGTTTTGTAATCCCAGATCATCGGAATTGCATGAAGTATGGAAGGCCTAATACTGAATTCTTAAAGTGGAGGTGGCAACCAGATAGTTGCGAGCTTCCAGTATTTGATCCACACAAGTTCTTGGAATTTGTCTGGGGAAAGTCTATCGCTTTTGTTGGAGACTCTCTTGCTAGGAACCATGTGCATTCATTGATGTGCCTCTTGACCAGGGTAAGTTCATCAAAATAAGTTTCTCAACTCATAGCAGCTTATGCATTTAATGACAACACATGATTTTTTGTAGCTTACCTCGACGAATAATCACGCTTGACTGAAAGAGATCTTTGGATCAAACTTAGAGAAACATGCACATATATGTTAGAATAAGGTTTTGATTATTCTCAATAATATGATGAATTTTATATATAATTTCACGTTCACCTCTATACTGCTGTTAGTCGAGCTTGCCACATGATTTATTTATAGACTTTTTAGTGTCTCATGTCTGTAGTTCATAGAACTAGATTCTGCATGATTAAGACTTTCCTTTTGTTTTGAGATTGATGGATGGGCATCATGTTGTGATATTTTCAGGTCCTTTATCCTCACGAAATCTCAAATTCAACAGATGAGAACAGAATATGGGAATACAAAGAATACAACTTCAGGATGTCAATATTGTGGGCTCCCTATTTGGTAAGATCAGGGGAAATAACTAATCCAAACGATGGATACCGCTCTTTCAATCTATTCCTTGATGAGCCTGAGCAGTGGTCAAACCAGATTAAAGATTACGACTATGTTATCATCTCGGCGGGGCATTGGTTCCTTCGTCCAACAATGTTCTACGAGAATGGCACTCTGATGGGATGCCTGTACTGCCCGAATGCCCCTCATTATACACCCTCTTTTAGTTATCAAAGGGCCTGGAGAACAGCTTTGAAAGCCATCAACAGTATAAACTATAAAGGTGTGACATTTCTTAGGACGTTATCTCCCGAGCACTTTGAAAACGGAACCTGGGACAAAGGTGGTAACTGTGCAAGGACAAGACCGTTTAAGAGAAATGAAACTAGTTTGACTGATGGAAACCTAAACTTCTACACGATCCAGCTGGAGGAACTTAAAATTGCACAAGAAGAGGGGGAAAAGAATGGACTAAAGTTTAGGTTACTGGATGCCACAAAAACTATGCTGCTCAGACCTGATGGTCACCCCAGTAGATATGGTCACAAGCCTACTCAGGCCGTGGAGCCGAACGATTGTGTGCATTGGTGTTTGCCTGGACCGATTGACACCTGGAATGAGTTTCTGCTGGAGTTGATGAAAAGGGCGGAAAATAAAAGGTCAGTTACCTGAAGTTAAAGAAGTTATGCCTGGCCTGGGTGTGCATTGTTGTCAATATCTGAAAGTTTCCTAATATATCTTATTTTGTAGACCTAGAACCTTTCACCTCAATTACTTCATTTTTAATTTATTTTGTTTCGTACAACGTAATTTTACTGAGAGGTTTCTTACCTTGCACTACTTAAGTGAGCTGTGTAGGCTGGAGATTAATTAGTTTCTTTCAAGAATGTCACGGCGAACAACACTTTTACGACATTTAGCAAAACACATTGTCTTATCGAATCTTATACAACAAAAATTTGATGTGGGCTGTTCTATTATATGTTTATGCTTTACATGCGATGCTAGCAATGCAGCCTACACAATATTATGAAAGCCCTCGCCATGTAAAAATCAATTATTTGCAAAGATGACAACAATAGAAGTGCTAATTTAAGCAGACAAATTTTAAAAAACGTTTGACATTTCACCTTCATCCCATCATGTTCATCATTTTTTTTTGCGTCATTAGATCTTGACTTTCAAAGTCTAAATCTCCTGCAAAAATGATTCACGAAGCAGCAGCTGATCAGGTCGCCTTTGCTGTTAATCAACTAAAAAGGGTGCCAAAGGTAGCCTTTACAGTCCTTTTCTTCCTGGTTCTTTGGAGTTTCACGGTTACTCTTAACTATCCTCCTTCAGACATCCAGAATTATGATAATCCCACCGCAGATTCTATCCCAAACTCAAACTCTTCAATGTTGTCAAGTCCGAAACTGGATCAGAAAGATTCTGATTCTGCCCAAGGCCAAAGTCCGGCGACCCAAAGAGCTGGTGGTGAGGGTGAAAAATCGGGAAGCAGCGCAGTAAGAGGGAGAGAAAACTGCGATTTGTTTTCAGGGGGATGGGTTCCTAATCCAGAGGGACCTTATTACACGAATGGAACTTGCTATAAGATTCAAGATCGTCATAATTTCATGAAATATCGATGTAGCGGAAGCCTCCAGTTGTAACTCTAGTAACCGTAACCGTGATGTAGCGCAGCCTATCAATTGACAATGATTCACTATTCTCCTTCAACAAATGGTCCAGAGAGATTGTGACTTTACCAATTTTCCTCCAACAAATGGTCCAGAGAATCGATGGCTTCCAAAGTCGACGGCCTTTATCCAACAAATGGAGCACCGGAACTTGGAACTTCCGAACTATCGGCCTATATCCAACAAATGGAGCACCGAAGTTTGAAGCTTCTAATTTTTCTTCCAACAAATGGTACGGAAAAACTAGGTCTGAGAAGAATCTCAAATTTTGATTGATTAAACTAAAAGCTATTTTACATGAGGCGGCTACGGCCTTTAAATAAGAAAAGGACGAATAGAAATTAAACCCTAGATTCAACTAATGAAAATAACTAAAATACCCTTCAAAAAACCCTAATCTAGCCCTAATTTTATGCCTCCATCATTCTCCCGGGGTGAGAAAAATTCGTCTCGAGTTTAAGGATAGTGAAAGAATAGCTTTTCCTGGATCAAATGGAAACATGGGCCGAGAAAACTTCCATTGCCAACTACCCCATCTCGATGTTAAACCGCTAAAAGGAAGCAAAAGGACGTCTCAAATCCTTAGCAAGGGCCAAATAAGCCTCCGGGGGAGTAAATGAAAGGGAACCAGCTCCATCAGATCACCATATTGGAAAGAAAACTCATCTGAAGTGCTCTTAATATCACGCAGGACATTGACACCCGCAACAAAGGGACAAAATCCAATAATGTGAATTGAAGTCTCCTTGCATTTGGTATTCCATAGCACTTTTCCGCTCAAAAAATGCCAAAGTCAGTAAAGCTTGAGGCATGGATAGAATTGCACAGGCCTTGCCTGTCATGGTTCTGAAAGTAACATCCAACCGGGAAACCCTTTAATGTATCATCAGCTGCAACGTCAATCACCTCTTCCAGCTCGACCGGGTTAACATGGAAAACCGGTGGTATTGTCCAATCGAGCTCAAGATTTTCCCAAGGATCATATCCCAAATCCGGAGAAAAAATTGCTGCACAATCATGGAGATCTTCCTGTTCATTTGGATGAATAATCAAATTTGGAGAAAACATTTGCCTTCCTAAGTCACACAAACATTAACCGAAGATAAAATCCAAGAGCGAAGGGATATAATTGATAAACTGATATTAGTCAATTAAATACTACTTCAACCGGCAGAAGAACCACAACAACAAATGAAAGCAATTCTCTTATGGCACTTGCTCCGAAGAGTTACTCAATGGAATCAACAATCAAACAAAGCTAATTGATCCACTTTGGCCGAACAACACAAAAAAAAATTCGCTTCCACCAAGAAACCTAAAAACAAAATTTAGGCGTAATCAATTTCGCCACGCCAGGCCGAACAACAAATTTTACGAGATCAAATCAATCGCACCACTCCCAAAAATAGTTCCAATAAACTTAGACAACCCAAAATGCGAAACCAAACTTTCAAGAACAAACTAAGGACAAAGGAACCAAACCGAAGCAAGTTGAACGATCCAGGAACGAACCTAGCTCTGATAGCAACTAATGTAGCGGAAGCCTCCAGTTGTAACCCTAGTAACCGTAACCGTGATATTGCGCAGCCTATTAATCGACAATAATTCACGACTCTCCTTCAACAAATAGTCCAGAGAGATCGTGACTTCACCAATTCTCTTCCAACAAATGGTCTAGAGAAGCGATGGCTTCTAAGTCGACGGCCTTTATCCAACAAATAGAGCACTGGAACTTGGAATTTCTGAACTATCGACCTATATCCAGGAAACGGAGCACTGAAATTTGAAACTTCTAATTTTTCTTCTAACAATTGGTACGGAAAAACCAGGTCGGAGAAGAATCTCAAATTTTGATTGATTAAACTAAAAACAGTTTTACAATGAGGCGGCTACGGCCTTTAAATAAGAAAAGGATAAATAGAAAATAAACCCTAAACTCAACTAATGAAAATAACTAAAATACCCTTCAAAAAACAATAATCTAGCCTTAATTTTACGCCTCCATCAAATATGGAAGGTCCGACACGCGGATGACATGAAATGGAGGTGGAAACCGGACGGATGCAAGCTACCCGTATTCGACCCGCATCAGTTCCTGGAAATTGTTCGTGGGAGGTCTATTGCTTTTGTTGGAGATTCTTTTGGAATCATATGCAATCATTGATGTGCCTCCTGTCCAGTGTACGTAAATTTCAAAATTTTCTTGTCTTTTTCACATTCAATTCAATTACACTTTCTTGATGAAATTAAAGTCTTGTGTGCATATTGTTTTGGGAAATTTTCAGGTTCTTCACCCACTTGATTTGTCTTCAGGCGAAAACAGCCAGTATGAAGTGTACAAGGATTACAACTTCAACATTTCCATGGTTTCATCTCCATATTTGTTAAGATCAGAAATGAGCAATCCAGACGATGATGTAACCAGCACTTGCAGTTTGTATCTTGACGAATCTGTTGAAAGCTGGAGTACAAAACTAGAAAGCTATGACTATGTTATCATCTCATCCTCACAAAGGTTCTTTTGGCTATGCTGGTTATACGAAAATCGCACCCTCATTGGCTGCACCGGCTGCAAACAAGGTAATGTCTATCAATTCGATGCCTATTTTAGTTGCAAGAAGGCATTTCGGACTGCTTTTAGAGCCATTAGTGGTTTGAGAAACTATAAGGACGTAACATTTCTTAGGACCATAACTCCATCACACTTTGCAAGCGGGGAGTGGGACGAAGGTGGAGATTGCCTGAGGAGGAAGAGGTCGTTTTAGAGGAATGAGACTGTTTTGGAGGATTATGATTCGGAAATGCGCAGGATACAAATTTAAAAATTGAAAATTGCGCAAGAAGAAGGAAACAAAAGGGGTTTAAGATTTAGATTACTTGATACAACAAACACGATGTTAATTAGGCCTGGACCGATTGATACACTTAGTGACTTCTTGCTTGAGTTGCTAAAGAGGGAACAACTCAACAACTAATAATAAAAAAATATGCGCCAATTTTTCGTGATTTATAAAATTGTGATGAGCCAACTTAAGAGGTTAAAGGTTCATTACATCGACAAACATTTCTACAGGACTAATTTCTGATTGCTCTGCATTTATTTGGCTTTATTTTTTTAGGAGGCACCATTGATAATAAATCAGCATTGACAGCATGGGCAATGTGTACCTGGTGTGATAGTCACGCGCCCAAAAATAGAGAATTTACCACTATTTACGAGAATGTCATTTGAGTAAAACACACGGGGCCATTTAATCCCCGTTTTTTTGCACGATTTTTGGAATTTCAAATCCTGATAACCGCTATTTCTTCCTAATTTCCAGCCATTATCGATGTCCATCTTCCTATCTCATTCATTTCAATCCGTATCAAACCAGAAAAACCTTCAAAACCTAAAAAAAAAAAAAAAAAAATCCCTGCGGCGATTTTGTCCAAGAAACCTCTCGGCGGCTGATTTTTTGAAGAGGGCAACCAATTGTGCATCTAATCTCGTGGAGTTTGAGAAAATATACTCTTATCAAGATTTGAATCAAGGTAACATGTGAACAAAATTCATCAGTTATAAGTATTTAATCCATGTTTTCTGTTATAATAATCTTTTTTTTAATATTAAACACATCCACATGGAAACCATTGATTGAGGATCCTGATTCAAATAGAAGCAATTCGGAAAGTGAAGATGAAGGAAGGTAATAATATTAATCTTTTCAACTATTGATGCGTTCTTTTGATGAGTTTTGTAGTATATGCATTCGATTATACATATTTGTTCATCAATTTTTAAGTTTTCTTCATCCTATTTGTTACGGTCCTGGAAAAAAAACTAATGGATTTGTGCGTCATTCGGTAACTCTTATGCAATATTCATCATTAAAACACGTAGATCTATGGTTTCTGCATTCATCCTTGTTAGATTTGTTCATCCATTAGTTGTTGAGTTGGAAGGGTTTTTCATGAAGTTACAATGCTCATCAGTTACCCATCCATTATTCATTGGTATTAAACAGTTATTCAACAGTTACCAATCCATCGGCATTCATATTTTTGTTGTTATTCATTATTTTAGGGTAGTTATTCATGTTTTTAGTTGTTGTTCATCAACTATTCTGTGATATTGAAATGGTTATGCCATATCTCTCCATTATTCAACATTGTTTTCTGCATTATTCATCATTATAATGTGTAATCGGGAATGAAAAGAACAAAATTCAGATTTGGTGAGTCACCAAAGGTTTATGGATTCAGATCTATTGTGGAAAAGAAGAAAATTCATATTTAAAAATTCCACGATCATTGCCGCCGGTCGCCTACAAAATTGTAGCAAGAAAATTTTCAAAAATTCTGATATTTCAGGTTGAGTCCCAGGTAATAATGATTGTTCGTCATTCTAATTAAATATAATTTCCGTTTTATGGATATCGTTTGCGTTATACTGATTTATTCATCCTACTAAAAGTGATTATTCACCTCCTGCGAATCTGTTATTCATCATGTAATATGTGCACTATTGAGATTTTTAGTTGGATTAGGTGTATGAAGATTTGATGATTATTCATCATGTTAATCATGATTATTCATCGTCTATTAAGGCCTTATTCATTAAATAGTCTGTTCATTGTAGTATGCATTAGGTGTATGCAAATATGATGGTTATTCATCCTCTGTTGTGTCGTTATTCAACGAAATAGTAATCTGATATAATCATGTAAATGTATATCATTCATCATGTAAATTTTGAGTGGTTCATCCTTTGAATCTGTGTTAGTCATACTGTATATATAATTCATCTTGCAAATAAATATCATTTATTTTAATGAATTGTTATTCATCATGCAATATGTGATTGTACACGATTATAAAAATGTGTCATTAATCCTGTAAAATTGTGTTATTCATCCGTTGAACTTGTATTATTCATTATGTACATGTGGAGTTTCATTATGCAAAGATATGTCATTCATTCTCAATGATGTTATTATTCATTATGTAATATGCACCGGTACATAATTGTTATTAAATGTAGATTTTTGTAATTTTAATGTTTATTCATCATCTTCGAGATGATTATTCATCTTCAAGATGATTAACAGATTTTTAATTGAATGTGAAATCTCACATATTGTAATGTTGTTTTTTTTTTTTTTATCAGCGACAAAGAAATGTTCATCAAAATGAACTCGATCAGCCGGGAATCAAATATTTGGCAAGAGTTCCTGAAATCAAAGAATGAACATAAACATACAGAGTATCGGCGAATCTTTCAATACCTTATATGTTAAAAATAATGACTATTTTTTGTTTGATTTTGGTATAGTATAATACATAATTAGAAGTTTATTACCTTAGTTGCTGACTAAACATTGTAAAATATATTTTTGCTAGTTTTCTTGATCAAAGTTATTAATTCTGTTGCACATTATTCATCCAGTAATGATATTTTATTCATTCATTAAATTACAATTATTCATCTAACAAAACTATATCTATTCTTCATTTTAGAATAGTTATTCATTTATAATGGGATCATTATTCATCAAGTTTTGCTTTGACATTCATCGTTGAGAGGAAGATGTCTGCTCCACAGAATGCCGACCTAGCTTTCAAAATCGTTATTCATTTAAATTAAATTTACCTATCCATAACTTTGACATTGTAAGACCGCCATTATTCATCTATAATATTATTGATATTCATCGATAGCATATCGGTATTCATCCAAACAAATATCATTATCTATAAAAATCTTCCAAATTGACGTTTAATTCTCCAGAGTTCAATTGCTAATCCGTTAAAAATTTTTTCCCAACTGATTCTCCAGATTCAAAAGTCTTTATGATAAACCATATTCAATTTTACCAAATTTTATAAGTATGAAAAAGATGGATTAAAAAAAAATTGTTTAAAAAAAATGTGGGCCAAGAAAATAGGTAAACATATGATTGCTAAAAATATGGGATAAGAACCACACTTGTTTGGCAGGTGCGTGTACCACACCTCCCTCTTAGGTACATGTTGCAAAATGCACTTAGGTGCTTGTTATTATTTGCCGTTCACGGGCATGCATTTATTTTGGCAAAAGGCCATTTATGTCCGTTTTTTGTGCGTTTTATAATTATCTTTAAAAATCTTTTCTCCTATAAATGCTAAATGGATGAATCATAAAAGATTGATCCCTACTCTAAAGGGCACCAATTTTAATTAGTGGAGACTGGAAACTATGTCGAAGCAGCAATTTGCTGCTCTTCGGATGGCTTGTTGTTCAGCATACTAAGATTAATCTAATTAGGTCTAATTAATATGATCCCATTTTTAAGTCCGATTCACAGCCCTTAACAAAGGAAAAAGAAAGAATCTAGGAACCACATCTAATAATTAGTTGAATTACCTTCCAATCAACAGTGATTATATGGTGAGCCGTGTTCACCATATTTGGTACACGGGTTATGTGGAAACACGCGTTCTAATGTAACTATATAATTAATTCTTCAAAATATTTATTATGAAAATAATCTCAACATATAATAGTGTAATCTTCTCCTCTTCAAATTTGGAATTCAAAATTCAAAATACAAATCTTAATTAGTGACAAGCCGTCGTCACAACTAGTCAAATAAATTCACATACTTAACACTAGTATAGCGGAAAATAGGGTTGTACCCACAGAGAAGAAATACTAATTACCAGGTATAAATTACTCCTATTATTATTTAGATAAATGATGACCTCAGATTTTCAAATAAAATAAAACTAAAGCGAAAATCTAAAGTATGCAATGACTTTCAAAGGTTGAAACAATCAAGTTGGGGAAATCTAGGACATTGAGTTCACCTACCAAATATTTGGTTTGATTCAATTCATAAGTATTTGACTTTTAATTTCCATTAATCTCACAACGACTCACCTAATTAAGAACTATACACTCTCGTGTTATAATTCTCTTACTTAGATTAACCCTATGACTACTCTCGTGACTATAGGGATTAAACAAAAGCACATTAAGACCATTAAGAATCAAACATTGCAAAGGTTATAATCTTACTCTCGTAGCTTACACCCTAAGTCTATTATTCCTACGAACTAATACTAATGTTCCACTCTCGCTACTTCGATTAGTATCTTCAGACATGTAAATAGTGGCCAATTACATACACAGATTAAAAAAAGAATAACAGATATTAATTAATGGAAAACTCAAATAATAAGGAACCAAATAAACCAAATAAATCCGGCGGCTACATCCAAGCCCTAGGTTAAAAGAATTTAGCCACTAAACATTGTCATAAATAATTCAATAATATTTAGAGACATAATCCTGAAAATCTGAATTAAAATAATTAAAACAAAAACACCCGGATGAAGGCAACAACCGCCGAAGAGCTCCCCGGTTGTGCTAGCTTCCAACTTTCTTCACGGGCAGCTTACACTTGCGGCTGCTTGCTTTCACTCATTCTCCCCGGCGACGGCTTGACGCTCAAGGTCCGGTGGTGATGGAGCTTTTGATGGTGCGTGGAGTTGATGACGATGATTAAGGTGATGATGATGGGATGAGATGCTGGAGCTGGGTAGGCAGGAAGGTGGAGCTGTGTGGGGGTTTTTTTTTTTGGTTCGGTGGTGATACTGGTTTAAGAGATTTATGATGATGCCGAAGTTCAAGGCTGATGGATGGTCAAGGTGGTGGTCTGCGGAGGTGATGAAGGAAGCAAGGTGGAGCAGCAGTACGTTGTAGCGGCGGAGGGGGGTTTTCAGCCGTGAGGGTTTTGGTGAG